TTATAAGAAACTTCAACATCAACATTTAACTCGTAAGTACTCTTTTGTTTAGAAGTATTGCAACCACCCATTTTTTTGTTCTTAGTTTCAACCCTATCTGTTTTTCTCCTATCCAAACACTGTATTAAAATACAACATAAATACTAAGAAGTATGAAGGATATGTCTGCTTTTGGTTCAGTGCAGTCTGGTGGTGGTAGGTGGCTTAGTTAAGCAAATCCAGATCATTAAACAAGATTAAGTAAGACATCAGTAGGTGTGCCAGGGATCGGGAGGTGGCAGCAAGACTCTGAGATGTTTGATTTCTGCATGTCAATAATGGAAGTGTTTTAACTGCAAGCCAGAATTAACAAATCATTAATGTGTGAGATTCTAGTAAGAAAAACAAGGGATGGTCAGACACCGATTATACAACGAGGAACTGTATTAAAAACTATTGAAACTAATTATATGGAGTGGAGAACTGCCACCATAAAAACATGAAATAGCATTCAAAATTAATATAATTATCTTTTCAGAACAGGAAGACTCCAAGTCAGAGGAGGCTCCAACAGAACTTCTCAAGCTGGATGGAGTGGCATCAAGGGATGTATTGCAAAGTTCAGCAGACTGGACTGTAGCCTGATGACTGGACAATTTTATGTATCAGTAGCATGAATCTGGATGAAAGAGCATAAAAACTACAGAACAGCTTATCTGGTATGGTTTGGAAGCAAAATCATGAGGAAGACATCCAGGAAAGAATTCAAAGTAAAACAGAATTTGAAATATCAGTCTAATAGGTAAATTGTTGTAAGGCAAATTGTTGTATTTCTGCTCAATCAACTTTATTTAGTTTCTACTTTGTAAGTGAGAGGTTGGTGTTATGAATGGCAGAAGGGATATCAGTGTGATCTGCACTAAGGGAAACTGTAAGATGGAGCAAGAAGAATGAGAGATATCTGGTGAAGGGACAAAACTGAGCTTGGTTATTTATCAAAACTGTGTGTCTTCAAAATAGCTTATACACAGCAAAAACAGACACGGCAAGCCCACTGAGCATGTAGAAGAATAATAAGGTCAGACTTGAAGATGTCTCTCTGCATCATGTATGTACCTTTATGACAGCTGGATTCTGAGATGAAATTCTCATATACCAGAAAATCGTAAAGGTGGTCTCACAGAAAAGTACTGAGAACTCTATAGACAGCAAAAGTTTACATGTTGGAGGGAAGAAGTCTGATGCATTTTGAGATTTTTATAAATATAATGAAAGAAGAAAGTTAAAATTACCTTAAGTGCAGATAGAAAAATCCAGAAATCGCTAAGGGGGACTCACAGACAGATTACTTATGAACATCAAATATCATAAACCCTGTTTCCTCAGGGAAACAACCTAAACCCATGAAGAATAATGTTTAACATATTTTAATATTTATTCATATTAATGTATTCAAACTCCATGTGTCCTACACAAACATGACAGATTTCTACCATATCAGTCAGAAATCTGGAGTCTCTAGAGCACTCCTTTGCTTTAACAAACTAGAATTTTACTACAGGTTGCATCTGTAACAGGAGAACCATGCAAACAATGTGTACACATGAACGTACGTTTTCTTTCAATAAAATCATTTGCATAATTCATTTACTGTACCTAGGTATACTTGAGTTTTGCTGAACAACCCATTTCAGAAGGTTTTGCAATTATAATAGGAAAAAGTGAGAAAACAAAATAAATATGCTTTTAATAAATGAATCTATTTTTACATATTTTCCAGTATGCTCAGTTTGCAATGACTGAAACAGATTTTTTGCTGGTTCCAGTTCCATTCAGCCAATCCTTCCTGCTAGCCACAAGCCTGTCTGCTGGAATACTATGAAGATGAAACAGTGACACAGAAAACCCAGCAAGCATTTACAATGCATTAGAAAAAAAAAGATGTCTACAACTATTTATTTCACTTGCAGCAACAATGCTGAAATTTGAGACAGGAAATTTATTAATATTGATTATACTTTTATCAGACTAAAATCAAGGAAATAAAAAACTTGACTGGAGACAGCTGTCATAAATATTTTGGGAGCTATTCAAACATATGTGTTTGAGAAAAACCCACCCTGTTCTCTAGGAAATTTTCTAAATAAGCAAGTCTGGTATACTCTTCTGTAAATGTAATGTAATAGAAGCTGTGTGCCAAAATCTGGAGAGCACGGATTGAATGCTCTGAACAGAGAGGGAGACACCTGAGATGGCTCTGTTAAATTATGCAAGAATCTCAGCTATGCACAGTGAAAGTGTCAGTCAGGAGGTGAAGAACACCAAAGCAGCCTCTACACACACACAGCTAAACATATTTAAAGCAGGAGTTCTCAAATCATCCCACATTTTGAAAACAAACTGGATCAGTTTCACTTCTCATTAATGATCATATAACATCTTTGTGCCAGATGCAGCAATTGCCTGCATGGAAAAATAATTTTAGGCAAGTAATATGTTTTAGCTGCTTTGTAACAACAACTTAGCAACTCAAGAGAGAGGTGCCAACACCTTGTGATCGGCTAGATGTTCAGAGGCAACCAGAAGAATCTGTGGTCCTACAGTGATCTGCAGATGTGGTACCACCTGAGATGTCTTTCTACTGCTGCATTCCCGAGAGAGATGCAGGATGCTACTTCTGCAGATTTCCAACCATGTCAGCAAAACAGAATAAAATCCTCCAGCTGTATCAGTCATGTCTAAAGCGTTGGGGGGACTCGTCTGTCACAACAGCTTCTTAAGTGTCTTATTTCTTCCTGTCCTTTTCCACCAGAGAAGCCCCTGAGAGGAAATTAAAGGGAGAAGGGCATCTCATCTGCCTAAATTTAACTCCCTCGTTATCTTTTGCTAGTCTGGATCTTTGACGCTCAGACTTGGACTGATTTAATGGTGTTGGGATGCTTAGTTCTTAACTACAGTAAGCCTGGAGAATGTCCTCCGGAGTCAGTTGTCTCCCTTGTGTTTGGAAAAAGCACGGACCTGTGGAAAGCTCTTAATTCTCAGTTCCATCTCGTTTGCTATCACATGGGAGTGTTCAGCTTACAGGAGTTGCTTTGTTTTGGGTTTGCAGAGAATACACCCTTTTTCAAAACCGATGGAGGTCTCACCTCACTCTTGCCAAACCCTACAATAGGAAAAGAAGGGTAATACTTGGATGGGTACAATGGCAATTCATCTCTCTGGCCAGAAGACTTGTTTTGGAGTTTTGTTGCTTAGTGTCTGTCAGCATTTTCATCCTGGGGTATTTAAGTTTCTCCTACAATATCCTGGCCTCAACTAAAAGTTTGCATATAAAGTATCAGAACTCAGAACTGTTTGGGTTTTTTTTAAATTAAGTTTCCAAATAAGGTTAAGTCTTAAGATATGAAAAAGTACTTGGGTGGTACTTAGCATAAAAAGAAGAAAATTATTAGCTTGGCATTTGTTTAATCTTGTGAAACACTTATTTAAAAGGAAAGCGAGGTGAATATTTAAAATATGATCTCAAAAAACACAAAAAAACATGTATTCATCCAGAAACTGGGCTACATCTTGAGGTGTCTAGCACCTCTAGGCATTGTAATTACTCTTTGAGAATAATTTATTTCAAAACTAACCACATATGTTCAACCGGTTTCCTTTCAGGAATGCTTCAGCTGCTGATGGATCACAAAAGGAAGGATCATGTCCCAAGTCTTTGAAGATATGGATAAGAAGGAAGTAATTGTTAATGATTTGCTGATCTAAACAAAAACCAATGAACAGCATAATGAAATCTTGTCATCCTGTAGTGTGCCAAAAAAGCATAATTTTAAATTGAACAGGAACAAATGTCAGAGAAGGTTGAATAAAATTAGTTCCATTATACACTACACAACTATATGTGTTTGGTAATAAAAGACCTGCCCCAAGAAATGAGAGGAAATTGTATGAAAATAATAGTCTTCTGGAACTGTTTACGTGCCTCCATGAACTTCTGCCACGATTAAACATTCCACTGAAAATGTTACTTGAAGACAATGCTGCAAAGTCCCACTAAGTACAGGAGAATTAAAGCTCTCCAAAGCCACCTGTAAGGACATATTTTGAGACTCGCCAAGAACTAGTATCAGTACAGCCTGGTGTAGGCTACGGTTGCACCTCTACAAGGTGGCTGCACTAAATGCTGGTCATCGGATAACTGCTGCTGTAAACGCATGTACTTGTAACACCGGTGAATTCCTTCACGTTGAAAAGGCTAGAAGAACCCTTGGTGTATGAAAAAATAAACCCATCAAGGATCGATTCACTGAATGAACAAAATCCCCTTTCACGCAGAGATGGGGCTGCAGCCTGTGCTCCTGCTGAAGCCACCACTGCCCTGCCCACCTCCCAGCCCCTACCTGGCCGCCTCAGGCTTCGCGCCCCCCGCCCTGCCTCCCCCGAGCACACCACCTGCAAACTTCCGAAAACGATCTGCCGCGCGTGGCTTCGCCGGTCTCTCAGGCCGAAAAGCAAAGACCGACCCCCGCTACCTGCGGAGGCTCCCGCTGCCCCCCGGGCTGCCCCCCGGCCACACGCAGCACCAGGAGGTCCCACGCCTGGGAGGGCCGCGGCTACAGGTGAGTTCCCTGCTGCGAGACCCCCGCCACGCTGCGTGGCCAGCTACAGCAGCAGCTCTCCTCCCCCTCAGCCTCCGTGGCGGGATCCCCGCGGGCTCCCCCGGGCCCCGTTTCGGCCACGATGCCGAACGCCCCCGGCCCCGAACGGGCAGCGCCGAGCCCCCCGCCACCCGGCGTCACGCGACCCCGGGGGGGCGGGCCGCCGCCTCGCCCCGCGGCCAATCGGCGCCCCACTTTGCGCGCTCCTCCCTCCTCCAGCCAATAGAGCGCGAGCCTTTCCTTGGCGTGGGCCCGGGCACGGCTGGGGGGGGGGGGGGGTCGGGGTAGGGCCTGGCGAGCGGCCGTTGGGCTCGGCGGAGCCCCGCCCCGGTGGGAGGGGCCCGGCGCGCCCGGCCCGGCCCAGCGCGGCGGCGGCGGCGATGGGGAGCCGGGGCGTGCGGCTCCGGGGGTAGAAGGAGGCTGGGGCGCGTCTGCCGCCACCCGGGAGGCCCGGCTGCAGGTAGGAGCTGCGGCGCCTTCTCGGGATGAGGGGGGGGGCAGTGCCGCGCGCGGGGGTCTGCGTCCTTCCCCTTTCCCCCCCCCGCCGCCGCGGGGTCGGGGCGGGGGGGCGTTCGGCCCCGGGGGGGAAGGTCTGTGGCCCTGGCGCGGGGCGCCGGTTCCGAGGTGGCTCCCGCCCCCTCCCCGGCCATCCGCCGCCCGAGTGAGCCCCACGGCGGCGGGGGAGCCCCGCGGGACCGTGCCCCGCTGCCCGCGCGGGGGGTCCCCTCGGGCTGAGGCGGCTCTCGCGGCCGCGGTGGTGCCGGGAGGGGAGGTCTCCATCCCCGCCCGCGGGAGCCAGGCCCGGGGAGCAGACCTCCCCGCCGGCACCGCGCTGAAACCCACCCGGTGGGCGAGAAGGGGGGGTGGGGTGGGGTGGGGAGGCGAATTTAGTCACGGCTGGTGCTTCGGCTGTGCCTCGCTTTGCAAACCTGCCGGGCTGGCGGGAGGAGTTGAGAGCTCGTTGGGAGCAAGTAATGGATGTGACTAAACCATTAAATGACATCAGACTACGCAGCCGGACTCAGGAGACCTCTAAACTTTAATTTATATGTTATCGGTACCGTGAGGTGCTTTTATGAATTGGCTGAGAATAACTTAATTCACCTGCGGAACCAGCTCCTCACTGATACTGCTAATGCCTACGTTTAATCAGTGTTGAGTAATAAATAGCGTTATTAATTTGGTGTGTTGTGTGTGAAGAATGTAAATGATGATATTTGATGTAAGAGCTCGGACAAGCAGGAGATGCCTTTGCGTAATACTTTTGTGCTTTCACCTCTGAATTCCTACCTTTATTGTATTTAATCTGTATTTATAAAAACCAGCATTTCTGCATTTCCAGAGCTTTTTCTTTGATTTGATTTCTTAACAGCTCACCAAATCTTTGCCTTTCCTTCCATCTAAATAAGCTGTGGAGTATCTTCAAGGGCAACAGCTTTCAGCGTTTTTTGGAGATCTTCCTTTTGAAGAAGACTGTGTAGTCTGGACAGTGGTGACCAGCATCTTTAGACCTCATGGCAATCTTTAGTACTTGAATTCAGCATTTGTCTTTTACAGTTAGATTTTTTTTTTTTTTAGATGAGGTTCAAACTTCTTATCTTCTTATTTTAAGTTTACTTAGATCAAGAGCCCCATTTTAATGAGGAGTGGTGTTGTTTTTGTTAAACCTGTATCTTATAGATGTTCACTTGAAAATATAGAAATTAGAATTTTGGTATGAAGTGTTATCATTATCTTTCAGATCACTTATGGAGGGATGTTTACATCTTGGCCATATTTACTGAAAACGCTTACTTAACTTGCAACTAGGTTATTCACTTAGTGAAAGTTGTTTGCTCTAGTTGATGTGGATGATCAGATTTCTAATCTCACTTAGAATTAACATTAGGAATTTTCTAGATATCACTGTTTGGATTGAGTAAGTATTTTGTATTCAGAATGGGTGATTGCATGTAGCTTCTAAAAGCTGTCTTAAAGCAACACTTAATTTAGGTTTGGGGTTTTAATCTTGTAGAGCTAGGGAATGAATGAATGAGACTCATCAGTTTCATCAGAATGAAAAGGAGTAAAGCACTAACCTAAATGGTGAAAAGTGGATTTAAATTATTTCAGACTCAATAGCTTTGGACTTTAGTGTGAATGTGTTTATATTTACTTGTGTACACTTAAAAGGAGACAGGGGAAGTTTCAGAGCTGCAGATTGCTGTCAGCTCTCAAAGTACATCAAGGAGGGGTGGCTGTGTGTTTACTCTGTTCTTGTTCTCTCCTTTAGGCATCCACTAGCAGTGCCTGTTAGAGACAGGATACCGTGTTAGATGGACCTTGAACCTTAGTATGACATTTTTGTGTTTGTAATACAACGTTTTCTGTGCAGTAGTGTGCAATTTGGAATGTAAATTTTAAATTAGGCAGGAATCAGAGGCGTAGGTTTTTAAGAGTACAGTATAAACGTCAATACCAGGTGCAGAGAAAGCAGGCTAATGACTGTATTAATTTGGATGCTTTTTTTGCATTTTTGTCAACATTTATAGGACATCCTAACTCCTGATAGGAAATCATTACAAGCATGTTTTCTAAGTGGCAACTTCCAGCCTTTTCCTGAGTGCCTTGTGGGAGTACTGTGCTTCTCACGAAAGCCTTGCTGGAATCTGCTGCAACTCCTGTCTGTTCTTAGGATATTGCAACGTTGTCTTTCACTGAAACTCCAGCCTTAGTTAGGCTTTCCTGCACTCGATCTCCCTTTTTTATGTGTCAAGCACCTGGGTATCCATGAGCATCTCTAGCATATGGAAGAGAGCAGAGAGGTTTAATAAAAAGTTGTTCAGTGGCATCTTCCCTCTAAACTGGTTCCTTTGCGTTAAGGTTTACTGTAGAACTTGCTATGTTAATAAATAAAAGCAGGAGAGAAGTCCGGTCTTGCTGCTAGAAAAGTGTCTGTTAGTTGGAAAGTTACTGCAGTGAATTAAGCAAGTTTCACCATCTAGAACTACGTGAATTATGTGTGGGAGTCATGAAAGCTTCCCACATAGTTGTGCTAATGCAGTCTAATTCCAGACTGTGCTGTATATACTCTTCGTGACCCCATCTCCTAAAAAGATTTCATTGTGGTTGCTGCTGTTTGTTGTTCATTAAGGAAAAGACACAGTATATTAACTCGTCCCTTCCTAATTTTAGTCTTAGAAATACAATAATATAATAGAATTCATTTATACCTGCTTTCAGTGGATCCTGGTTGTTTACATCACAAGTGATATGGTACTTATCTAATACAGTGCCTTGCCCTGTGTTACAGAAGTAGACAGGAGCAAGTACTGCTTAATACAGTGCAGCATCCTTAATGTCCCTTGACAGTTCGGATCACTAGTTCTGCCCCATGTCATGTTGCCTGTATGGCAGGTCTGAGAACAGCTCTGACTCCATGTTTGCATATTTTACAGAACCATTTTGAGCATGACTATGAAGTATTCAGCAAAGTTCTTTGACAAGTGAGTTTCCAAAGACAATGATAAATGATAGAGGTACATTGACATGCTCCTTATTTCAGCTAGCAGTCTTGCACTTAGGGGAAAACCAGCAGAAAACAAAAATAGCACATGTCTGAAGATGTACAAAACTTTGGTGTTCTTGAATATCTATGTTCATTATGCTTAGCTACCGAAGAACACGACTTGAATTTTCCCTCCACTTTGGAAGGCTATAAAAGTCAATGTGTTCTTAAGCTATAGCATTAAGCAGATTAGTTTTCAGGACTCCAAGTCTTACCCTGAAAATGGTTTATCCATCTACATTATGAATCATGGTAGAATGAATCTTATCTCTCAGTTATTAGCTCTGGAGAAGAGATGAGCTGCTAATGTAAAAGGGTTTCAGTATGTTTAAGCTTTTGGGATTGTGTCTTTTTACTGTGGCCAACATGCTCTTTTTTGTCACTTTTACATTCAGCTGTGAAGGCTAATGTCATCCCATATTGCTGCTCTTATGTTACTTATATGAAATAACAGATCAGGTTAAAATCTAGACTAGACAGTACCACCTTAAAGTATGTAATACTTTAATAGAAGAAAAAAAAATCAATCTTGGCAGTTGTTTGATATTTTTAAAGAACAAAAATTTAAACTTTCTTAGTTCTTGAACCATGTGCAATAGTCAATGATGTAATAAGCCTGCAACCAAAAGCTCCCGAAATGGACTCGTTTACATCCTCAGTGACACCAGTATTTAAAGGTAATTGCTGAACCAATTCACAAACTACAACTACAAACTATATAGTATAAATATGAAATTGAAGATGTGAATGTTGTAGCTTGGATGGTGACATATGAACACCTAAAGAATAGGCCCATCTTAATATTCTCTATCCTGTTTTGACTGTTAGATGGTTGCCATACATGTAACAAGGTTGCTGTGGTTCTGTTCCCCACATGTGTTCTGTGGTCTGCTGCTCCATTTCTGCTCGGGTAGTTTATTGCCAAGAGAGACATCAGGTGTTTTCAGTTTGTACAAGAAGGAGGCAGTGCATAATGCCAGGTGGAGTGTTGAAAAAGACACTTGCTGAATGTCAGTGTGCACAGCTAGTAATGGTTTTGAGGTTATTGCTGACTTTCCCAATCAGACTGATTAGCTATCATGAAGGAAAGAAATTAACATCTTTAGTACAAGCATGAAGTCACGAATGTTTAAAGGGCTTTCAGTATGGTCCCATTAAGTGGAATGGGAGAAAGTTTACACCTGAAATTTTGTACCAGAACTTGCATATTGTTCACATATAGAATGTGATTATATGTCTGTGAAATGTTAAGGATGTTTATATGTTAGATAAAGCTTACCTATACCCATTTGAAAGTAATTATTTTGCTTAATTACCTCTTTAAGACCAGCCTGTCTGGGACAGGCATGGAGGCAGAACAAATTTGCAATTTGGCATCCTTTCTTCCCTGGCTTAAATTAGTCTCTTCTGACTTTTCTTGTTTCTGCACGGCTTCAGAGAGAAACAGTTGTTGGGAAGTTAACTACTTTAAATTTATGCTCCCAACACTTAGAATAAAACCACATAGTATTTCCAACACTGACTAGAACCAATGTCATATTACTATTAGCCCTTCCCTTTTCCTCCAGGCTCCGTAGATTCTCATCTCCAGTCTGGAAAATGCATATATTAAATCCTCGTTGAAGACTGTCATCCAGCTAGGATTACTTTATGATTACTCTTTTGCCCACAATTTTTTGATGCTGGACTAGGCTATCACTTGTTTTCTGCAGTTCTGAACAATATGTGGATTAGTGCGAAAGACCAAGAATAATTTTATATCGTGCTTACTATTAATAAAGCTGTGAAACACTGTTTTACCAATATGTGGTCTAAGTATTCTTAGTTGTGTGTTGCTTTATTGTCTTGTAAAGACAGTCTCTGTTTTTTGAGTCAAGAATGAGTGAATTTTATGTTATTGCATTATATGTGAT